TAAGCGATTTAATGCGATTCAACTTTCATTTTAAAGGAAAATCTTCGTGAATAGACCTCGCTGGAAACGGAAAAAGGTATGAAGACGAGCGGATTGTGCAAAGAAGCCCTTGTCTTATCGTTCTGCAACTGTGGTGAGCTTCATCTGACCAATATGTTTATCTTCGGAAACTGGTTAACTAAATGAAGATCCAGAAACCTGCCCCTAAGGCCTTCATCCCAAACCGGCTCGTTATAGCTTCTGCGATGCGAGGCAGAAAGATCCGGCTTGCTCTCTGCACTTTTAGCGTTGATTCCGGAAAAACTCTCCGTGGATTCGCACCAAACATTGCCTAAATAAACAAAGTGTAACAGGGTTCTGATGAAGCTTCTGATGAGACAATGATGTGGTGACTTTTGTTTCGTGTGGAAGTGACTGACGAAGCGATTTTCAGCTTGATCTCACCGAAAGACGACGACAGGCTCCGATCACTCTGCCGTCGTTCGAGAGGGTTCTGGTGGTGACGGAGCAAGATTTTGTCTCTTATGCCGCTGAATAGACATCATCAGGATTGGACCTTAATCTTATAGACACCTCATGCTGTATTGTGGTTGGTCAGATGCACGATCAGTGGTTGCATATACTGACTTACACACGTACACACGCACTTGCAAACACACAAACATGGCGTGAGAAAGAGCTAATCAAATGACTAAATTTTTTTAAGTTTGTAAGTAGGTTTTGAGACGATCAGATCTGTTAACCCTATTTTGGTCAAAGTGATGAAGAACTATTAGTTGAATAGTCCCAAATTCATATAAGTAGACTATACATTTCCACTCAATTTTATATATCCTTGCTCCCCAAAAGACATTCTCATACATTCTTGGCTGAACTGGAGGTTATGCTTCATCTACGACGTAGTGCGACGTTAACCACTACACCACAGTGCTACGAGTGTCCTTAGGTCACAGGGCGAATGGGAATTTCAAGAAAGTTCAGATTACTTCCATTTCAAGGAAGAGTGTTTTGAGAAGAGATTCCAAGGTCAAGCCCACCGGAAGACGGCGGCAGATTCCTCTTGACCAACTGTCCACTGGCTTTACTCGAACATTATTTTAATGCTGATTCCGGGATAACTTCATCTACCGGACTAGAAGGAGACTACCTCGGAAACAGTGTCGGCCAATCGACAACTGGCCAAAAGGAATCCGCCATCGTTTCAGGGTGGGATCGACCTTCGGATCTCTTCACCAAACACATTCACTCGAAAGTGAAGTAAGCTCAACAATTATGCGACAAGCGAGTCCTCTAAACCCAACTTTTCTTCGCACAAATTTATATTTGAAATAGCAATCAGCCACATTATTTATCTTTTGTTTGTTTTGTTCAACTCGAAAACCTACTAGCAAACAAAAAGTAGGTAATGCAGTCGATTGTTATGACAATTCTAACTTTGCTTCATTGACACTCACACCAAAGAATGTGATATGGGAAAATGCCTGGCATTCATTGAAATGCACATCTTCCCTGTAACTCAGTGGCACTCGGGGTATTGGCGTGGTGGTTAACGTGTCGATATTGGACGCTGAACCGTCATGGTTTGAGTCCCGCTGAGGGTTCTGATGAGGTCTAGGCGAGGCTGAAACTGCCGTCCACCCAGAATCAAAAACCTTGTGAATTCGATGGAAAGTCATCGTGGGAAAACTCAAATTATTACTTTTTTGATACCGTAAACGAAATAGGATTAACACATACATGCATTCTATAAGTCTCTTGGTTCAGTTTCTTTTGTTGTTACTGTGGTTAATTACAGGAGACAAGAAAAAGATGGTCAGTATTTTATTTACGAATACTCTTTGTCGGGACAGATGTAGGCTCAGTCCGATTTTCAGGGAACAAAAGGAGGATATGAAGAGAAATTGGACTTTAAGCATCCTTCAATAAATTCCTGTTGTTGTACCTTCGACCTCATTTAAAAAGGTGTCTTGAGGGAAATCATCAATTATTCGCCCCAAAACTCAAAAGAGGAGTGCCTTGTACATAAGACTGCAGATTTGTGCGAAGACATGTGTTGAACTTTCGTGTCATATGACAGACATCCGCAGAAAATTAAGCCATTCTTTCGGAGGCTTCATCAAACTTGAGGACAATAAAGATCTTGATGTCC